GGAGGAAAATTATGCAGTTCCTAATGCACCTAAGGCCAGAATTTGAAGTCGTCCGATCTAATATCCTAAGTCGATGAACACTTCCTGACTTAGATACTATTCTTGGGGAGATTTTGAGGGCAAAAACTAGATTGACTACTCAGACTGCACTAGATGGAAGTAAGGATTCCAACATTGATGCTGTCTTTTTGGCAACTAAACCAAAGGGGAAGAAGGATTTCTCTAAGATACAGTGTTATGAATGCAAGGAGTATGGGCATGTTGTCTCCCATTTTAAGAAGAAAAACACATGCACCTATTGCAAGTAGGTTGGCTACATCATCACTGAATGTCCTACCCTGCCGCAGAAAGGTAGTGGTCCAAATCAGAAGAAAGGGAACTACAAGGCCTATCAGACTGCTGTAGATGGTTCAGATGCCTCCTCCTCTATCACTTCTGTGGCTGGCCAAAACGACACCTCCAACGGTATGTCTAAAGAAAGGATTTGACAGCTCATGTCCTCGGTCATCCCCGAACCACCTTTGGTATATAGACTCAGGAGCCTCTAACCACATGATAGGGGCTACTTTTGGTTAGTATCCCAAACCTCATCTCCCCAATAGACATTATTACTGCAAACGGTGAGAAACTTGACATACTTGGTTGTGATGATTTGTATTTATCTACCTCTAAATCATCTTTGTTTCATTTATCCAAAACTCTATTTGTACCTAAACTCACCACTAATTTGATTTCTTTTGGCCAACTTGTAGAGGAAGGTAATAATGTCTCATTTACTTCTGATGGTTGCTTGATACAGGACCGGCAAACTGGGGAGGTGAAGGGGAAGGGGCGTAGACTGGGAAGACTCTTTGCTTTGGAGTTTGAGAAGAATAAGACTAATTTTGCTTCTACTTCTTGTTTGCTTTCTACTACTAGTTCTAGATCTTTTAATTGTAATAGTGATTGGCATTTGTGGCTTAGACGCCTTGACCATCCTTTTTCTAAGAAACTTGATCAATTATTTGCTTCTGGTAGTTTACTTGTTTCTACTGTTTCTTTTAAGAATGTGAATAAAGATTGCATTACTTGTGGTTTATGTAAAGAGTCATATTTTACCCTTTCCTTCTTATTTTGAGCATGCAACCGTTCCCTTTCATTTAATACATAGTGATGTCTGGTCGTCTCCAATTGTTTCATAGTTGGGATATAAGTACTTTGTAGCCTTCATTGATGACTGCACTCATTTTACTTGGGCTTATTTTCTTTGAAAGAAATTTGAAGTGTACACTGTTTTTAAACACTTTCACACCTATGTAATTACCCAATTTGATGCTCGAATCTGTGAACTAAGATCGGATTCAGGGGGAGAATATATTGATGGGGATTTCCAGAACTACATGAAACAACATGGAATTGAACCCAAAAAATCCTATCCAGGCACCCCACAACAAAACAGGGTAGCAGAAAGGAAGAATGGGCACATCTTGAGTGTAGTCAGAACCCTTTTACAGGATTCCCATGTACTCTCTTGGTTTTGGGTGGAGGCGGCCAACATTGCTGTGTATCTCATAAATCATCTTTCGTCATCTGTTTTGAATAACTCCTCTCCTTTTCAATCTCTTTGTCACAAACCCCAGACATATCCATGCTCAGGGTTTTTGGTTGTGCTTGTTTTGTCCACTTTCCACCCCATGAATGCACAAAGTTAACTACACAAGCAGCTTTGTGTGCCTTCATGGAATACAGCTCTGAACATAAGTGGTTCCTTTGCTATGATCCCTTGGTTCGTTGCCTTTGAATCTCTCGTAATGTAGTCTTTCTTGAAAGTGTGTTCTTTTTTGAACATATTGTGAAATTCCCAGCTCCTTCTATTTCCTTGTTGCACAGTTTTGATTCTACAGGCACTTCAGATATTCCATTGTCACCTCTGCAGCAACTTCAGACATACTTCAGGAAGCAACGGCCTTCTTCAGTCTCCATCCCCCCCTCTACTCCGCCTCCAGTTGCTGATCCGGTCACTCCAACTCCCTCAGTTAGTGTACTTGACCTTCCTCCTGAACCCACTTTACACCGTTCCACTAGAATCTCTCGACCACCTAACCGTTATGGTTATTCACCAGAAAATAGCTCCTTGTCTACCACAGACATTCCCAGATCTTACCAGTAGGCCGTAGCAGAACCACATTGAAAAGATGCCATGGATTCTGAGATTCGAACCCTTCTTGAGAATGACACCTGGGACCTGGTTCAAGCTCCACCTGAAGCCTCTTTCATAGGAAGTCAATGGGTCTATTTTGTGAAATTGAAATCTGATGGGAGCCTAGACAGATATAAAGCTAGACTTGTTGCACAGGGATATAAACAAGAACACAGGATAGACTATGAGGAGACTTTTGCTCCTGTAGCTTAAATGACTATTGTACGTCTTCTAATGGCCATATCTGTAGCCAAACAATGGACAATCCATCAAATGGATGTCAATAATGCTTTTCTTCATGGGGACTTGGGGAGTTAAAAGAGACGGTCTATATGAAGCCCCCTCCAGGATACTGTATAGATCCACAACTTGTTTGTCGTCTGAAGAAGTCACTTTATGGCCTGAAGCAAGCCCCTAGGGCATGGTTTGAAAAGTTCAAATCTGTCATCACTGATGCTAGCTTTACCTAGAGTCCTTCCGGTTATTCCTTATTCATCTTAAGGAGGAAGTAGGTAGTAACAATGTTACTCCTCTATGTTGATGATATACTCATTACAGGGGATGGCACAGAAGGAATTTCTAGGCTACAACAGTTACTCAAAGAATCCTTAAAGATGAAGGACTTGGGGCCTTTGACATATTTTTTGGGCCTTGAAGTGAGTAGAAATTCTCGAGGCTACTTTGTTAATCAACAGAAGTATGCGGCTGACCCGGTTAAACTGGCAAATCTTAGTGAATCTATGATTGTGGACATTCCACTAGAACTGAACCTGAAACTCAGCAAAGATGATGGTCTCCCCATGAAGATCCTACCCTTTATCGTCAGCTAGTGGGCAGTTTAATCTATCTCACCATGACTCAGCCGGACATATCTTATGCAGTTCAGATAGTAAGTCAGTTTGTGTCTTCTTTGAGACAACCACATTTATAAGATATGTGCGAGGCACACTGTCACATGGGATATTCTTCTCCTCATCATCTCCCATTTATCTTATGGCCTATGCGGATGTTGATTGGGATTGATGCCCTGACACTCGATGGTCCACCACTGGCTACTCCCTTATCTCATGGAAGTGCAAGAAACAAGCTACTATGCCCAAATCTTCCATGAGCGCACTAAACACATAGAAGTTGATTGCCACTTCATTTGCGATCTCCTTCTTGAGGGTACCATATCTCTTCCTCATGTCTCTTCGGGGCTCCAACTAGCAGACTTGTTGACTAAAGCAATGACACGGGCTTGGCATCTATTTCTCATGGACAAACTGATGCTTATTCCTAGGCATCAGTTTGAGAGGGAGTGTAGAGACAGTGAAATCTAGCCATAGGGCTACTTTTGTACTTTTACTTTTCTTTACTATATACCTATTCTTTGTATTATCTCTCTCATGTACATTAAGGGCAGATCTGCCCTTTTACAACTTAATATAAATATATCTTTTAGGGTGCTGACTGACACAAGGTGTCACACCCACCATTCGGCTGTTCTCTCTCTGTCTATCTCTCTCTTTCTTTTCTTACTTTCGAACTGACTCTAACAGTAAAGGGTTGGAGGTAGATGGTTTAAGTAAAAAAATGGGAAGCTGGCCTGTTCCAGGCTTCTGGCTGTAGCTTTTTGGTGCATTTGCCAGGAAAGAAATACAAGGATATTTAAAAATAAGAGCAGTCCAGTGGACTCAATGTTTCAAAAGGTTTTGGGAAAAATGTTTTCTTGGCTGGTTAGACATAATATGTTTAAAAGATAGGTTATAGTTCCTTGTTTTTACAAGCCAATCTTTATGTAAAGCAGGGTATGGGGGTATAGTGCTGCAAGGGCAGCTTTGTGGCTCAAAGAAAAAAACGGCTCCAATAAATATGCACAATAAACCCCCAATCTCCATGCAGGGAAAAAAATCACCTATACACCCTATACAATTGGTGAAACCTATGAGTTCTTCACTCAACTCCGAACTGCAATCCACCATCCTCCTGCCCCAATCAGCCTGCTGAGAATTCGAAGGCCAAAACTGCCCCCTTGTTCTCTGATTTCTGCCTCTACTCCTGATTTCACCCAATGTATTCTTCATGATCTTTGTCAGGAGCATGGTATGCAAACTTGATTGTAGCGATTTCTTTCTTGAAAGAAGAGAATGACAGATACATTACATGAATGGATTTGATAAACTTATATAGCTATTTGCAATAATTAGTTCATAACATGGTCACTGTCCATTTTCTTCATTACTATGAATTTAGTATAGTTGACATTTGAAATGCAGTGTAGTACATTTGAATTCAAAATTCAAATGGTGAATCCCAATGTTCACCTTCAAATCTTATGTCTGAATCCTTTTTCTGAAAAAAAAAATTGATTGCTGTTTGAATCTTACAATTCAATTCACGATTCTTACAGCTTATATGCTTCGTGCAGATATAAATCAACTTGATTGGGGCCTAGTTCTCTACTTTGTCATTCCTTTATTTATTTAGATTTTTTCAAGGGAACTTGATTGCATCATCTTATGCTTCTAGTTTACAAGTGGCGAGATTTATCCCGTTTAGTGTATAAATGGTAGATATGGATTAACAGTGGGATAAAATCACTTGTACACATTTTTTATTTTTTGGGCAGATTTCTGAAGAACAGAAATTTTATATTATGATAAGACTCATGTGTTGATTCAATTCAAGCACTTGTATGACATTTGTGATACAATTACAATTTTCAGAAAATTTATCTGCATATGTGGTGGATTTCTATCAGGACTAACATAATTTCCTTCAAGTTTAGTTTTTTTATTTGAGAAAATGATTTTATTTGTCTTTAACATGGGTTCCTCAGAGATATGCATTTCATTGGTACTTCACATCAGCTCTTCCTCGCTCTCTTCTTGCAGCATATCCTCTCCTTTTGGTGAGCTTAGGAATGTGATGTAGCTACAATTATTGTTATCCAAGTGGCTTTTCTTGACACATCTTTTGCTTCTAGCACAGTTTTCCAACTCCAATCAATGAAGATGAGCTTGTGGCTTTTGTTGAATTCATCTTTCTGTTTGCTGAAATGGTGTAACAGAACTCTTGTTGCTGCCCCAAATAGAGATTACTGGTGTAGGATGATAACTTCATAAATTAGTAACTCATGAGCCCTGGTCAGTTGTTCCTTTTTGTGTCCTGAACAACTGGGGTAGCCACTGAAATGCTAGTATTATTTAAGGTCCATTTATAAGTACAACTATGTGAACCCAAAAGAGAAAATAGCTATCTACTTCAGGAAAAATAAAATAAAAGCGTGAAGCTTCCAAAAAGGGGAAGAATTAGTTAACAAGCACTTCGAAAATTAATCAACAATAATGTACTTGGGCATGTAATACCTTAGCCAAAATAGAATTTTTCGTACATAGGAATGCTGAGCAAGAGGAGGTCCTATTGTAAATAGGGAGCTGTATAAGGAATGCTGAGCAAGTAAGCATATTGTACATACCCATTAGTTTATCCAGTTAAATAGAATTTTTTGTAAAGTGTATTAGGCCATGGTTTTGTTTATTTATCAAGTACAGTGAGTGAATTGACTAAACATACTCAAGAGGAGGTCTCATGGTACATGATGTTTATTGATGACATTATTTGTTGATGAAATTAATGAAGGATTAAATGTAAAATTAGGTTTAGGGACAAGTACATTAGAAACAAGAGGTTTTAAAATAAGCAGGACTAAAACCAAATGTATGCAATGTAAATTTAATAATAATAGGAGTGCAAACCAGGATACACTTAGGATTCAAGACCAAGAAATAATTCAATCTGGTCTCTTCCATTAGTCCATTGCCTTGTTTCATAAGAAAGGGGAGATTGAGGAGGATGTCTCTCATAGAATTAGAGCAGGATGGGCAAAATTGAGGGGTGCATCTGGAGTCTTATGTGATAGGTGCAAACCACTTTGGCTAAAAGGAAAAATTCTAATAAACACTTCTAGGGACAACTATGTTGTATGCATCAGAGTGTTGGGCTGTTGAGAAACAGCATGTCCAAAAAATGAATATGGTGGAAATGTGTATGCTTAGATAAGGAATAAAAAATAGAAAGGATAGGTTCAGACATGAAGTCATATGAAGGAATCTAGGAGTAACTCCAATAGGTGATAAAATGAGAGAAAGTAGACTGAGGGACTTTGGTGTTGTGCATAGAAGACCATCTATAACATCCATTATAAGAAGCTATCTGTTGCAAGTTGAAGAAGCTAGAAGAGTTGGGAGCAGCAGACCAAAAATGACTTGAATGGAAGTAGTAGGAAATGATTTAAGCACCCTTAATTTGATGATGAATATAGCACTCAACAGAATGCAATGGTGAAACAGGATTCATGCAGCTGACCCCATATAGTTGCTGCTTCTGCTGCTGCTGTTCATGATGATGAAGTACAGTGAGTAAAAGTACAGCGAGTAATAGGTTTGAACAAACAATGACTTTGACCAGATCATATTGTAACACATACAGTTAAGAAGCTGAGTTTGTAATTGTAGAAATACCAAAGTGCATTTATTGTTGCTTTAGTTTGTATTTTGATATTTTTTATTTGATCACACAAAATAATTGTTTCTCTGCATTTATTTTTTCATCACTTCAAAAGTCGTGGTTCCCATAGTTTATGAACCTCAATAATAAGAACCATTACTTTTATGGGTATCCCCAATCTATTCTGTTCTGCTAGAACAAAGATTGGGATTTGGGTCAAACATTCAAGGATAAATTTCCTACTATTTTTTTCTCTTTCCCTTAACAAAGAGTGTTTGGTGTCTTACTGTGCTGTAATCTCTGACTGTGGTCTGAATTGGAATTTGGGTCTTTGCGGCGGGATAGGGATTGTGAATCTTTGGACATTGTCTCTCTTCTTGTTCCTTTGGACATTGGTTCCCATCTGCATTTGGTTCCTTTTCTTGTGCTTCTTTCTTTTGATCTTTTCTACTGTTGGAAAAGATCGTTAGCCCTGCCATTTCTTTCCATTTGTAGATGTCTGGTTCCACCCAAAATAAGAGCTTTTCTCAGGAGGTGTTTCATAACAAAATTAATACATCTGAGAACCATCAAAGGAGAAAACCTTTCTGGTTTCCATCACCCATGTTTGTCTTCTCTGTAGATCAGGTGGTGAGAACACATTCCAATTACTGATTTTCTGTAAATTTACATTTATTATTTGGATTTTTTTTCGTCTCTCTGTTTTTGGCAGGTGCAATCCTCCCCTTTTTGATCAGTAAGGTTTTTTATACCTTTTTTGCTGTTAAATTCAATTTGAAGATGGCAAGATTCTGATATTAAAAGGGAGAACAATTGCTGTAGGTAGAGATGGAATCCTCCCTTGGACATGAAGAGTTTGTTTCTAGAACCCTTCTTTTTAACACCTAAGAAGAGGGGTTGTAGCGGGCTATGTCGTGATGGCACGTGGGGCCTTGTTAGGCCATGAAGAGTTTGGGTTCAGAAAGTCATGTTCAAAGTCCTAGTCAACAATTTGACCAGCATTTATTGGAATTCATGTCGCTAGAGGTGTAATGTGGGCTGTTGCGGTCTATGCCGTGATGGCACGTGAGGCCTTGTTAGGCCATGCCTGCTTGGCATGAATTTCCCTCGAGGGGAGCCTAGTGTGGCCTGAGCCCTAGTAGGCCCGTGCTGTGCGGAGCTCGACATGATTTTTAAGAAAAATTGAAAAGATAATGAAAATTTAAAATAAATTAACAAGACCAACAACAAATTGAAAAAAAGCATAAAATTTTATTCCATATGAATTTTGATGTATATAATTGTTTATATATGAAATAATAAAATGGAATTGAAAAAATACAATAAAATTGGAATAAAATGTGTGTTGGTGTGGGTCATATTGTCTTTTATGGTAAAAGACAATGTACCATTTTTAGTAACTTTTGGTTTCTTATATTTAGTAGAACTAGAGAGTTTTGTGTCCTAGTTTGAAAGGGAAGTTTCTTTTTATTTTTTTATTTTTATTTTTTTTTGGTTTGAAGATTGAATACAAATAGTTGGAAGTTTCTACTTTGTGTCTATTGAATTGTTTTTTTTTCCTACTAAGAGCTGAATAAAGAATTCTTTTTTTTTTTCTGGTTCTACACCTACCATAGCCATTGTTTTAATAGGTGTGGGAGGCGTATGCCCAAAGACATCTCCAAATTCCCTGAGGCATATGCTAGAGATGTTGCCAGCCTTTGAGGCATAAAACGCTTTTTGCATGAGGTGTGTTAGAGGCTTACACCTTATGTAAAAAAGAAAGAAATAAAAGAAAGGAAAGAAAGGTAATGAGAGGAAAGGAAAAATAAGGGAAGGGAAAGAAAAAGAAACACAGAATGAGATCTTCTATGTATATCTGTATTTTGGACATGGGCATTTTTGATATTTTACATTTTTTGTGGGGTCCAATGAAATGGTCTGATTTTTTTATGAATAAAGAAAATTTTATTGCTTCAAAAGATAATGGAGAATTTGAGCTCATACAACAACCCGTGGAGAGGTGCGAGCTGCGGCCTCTCTCAACTTATTGCAAGGAAACTAAAGGGAAAAAACAAGCATTACAGCTGAGTCGAAAATAAGACTTCCTTATTTACCCCTTGCTTAGCTAAGCCATCAGCCAAAGCATTTGCTGATCTCCCCACCCATTGTGTAGCAACAGACATATTCCTTGTCAGCCACTTAAATTTTTTTACTTCATTCCTGTAGCACCATATAGTATCCTCAGGGTTCTTTAACCATCCCACCACCACCTTGGAATCCCCTTCAATAATAATCTGCCCTACACCCAGTTGATTTGCAAATTGCACTCCTTGTAGGGCTGCTAATAGTTCTGCTCTGACTGAATCCCCAAATCCCAAGGGACCTGAATAGAGAAGTACAATCTCTCCAACCTCATTTGTCAAGACCCCCCCCCCCCATTCTAGAGCACCTTAGATTGCCCTGACTGCTCTCATCCAAATTCGGCTTCATTGAGCTGTGAGGTGGTGGAATCCATCTTGTAACTGCCTTGGTCTTCCTAAAAGAGCACCTTGCTACTGCTGACTTGTTTCTCCATAAGTCTAAATTCTAAAAAGGAAAAATGATGAAAAAGTTCTAAAGTCTTCAATCAATGGATTGCCCTATTCATTTATCAAAAAAGAAAAAAAAGATTGTCCTATTCAACACACAATCCTTCAAATCTTGGCTGCTCCTCTCCTTGTCTTGGAAGATTTTGGCATTCCTTTCTTCCTAGATTGTCCATAGCAAGGCTCCTCTAGCACATCTCCACATAATTATACTGAATCATTAATGTACTAAATCATGAAAAAAATGTGCACTTGATCCTTGGCCTATTTATAAAAAGTAGCATGAGAAAAGACTAATGTGGGAACCATTTTTTTGACTCAAAAAATGATCACAATTATTGGGTCTGAAAAGTTATCATAAATAGTAACTTTGATTTTTACTAATAACAACAAATTTCTAGAAGACTTACAAATACTACTTAGAATACCTAGAAAATAAATTTAAAAAGTCAGAAGATAGCAATATTGATGCGAAGTCAAGTGGTTAAATCTGGGATTTGTTTTTTTTCTTAATTTCTTATATACTTTTGTGTTCCTAGACAACGGTATTTGAGTCATTTTACATGTTATTTGAGGTATCCAGCCTTAAAGATTTTTCTGCCAATCAGTATGGATATATGGGCACATACTATGTTGTGCTGTACATTTTTATCCAATCATTCAAGAAAGATATGATTTTCTTTGATGAGTGAGATTGATATTTAGTATTTAATATTTAGGTGTATTCCCTTAATTTCTGTTCAAATGAGGAATTATGTAAAACAAAATAATGCAGGAAATAAACTTGTAACAAAAATAAATACAAGAAAAGACATAATTCTTTATTGAAAATCCACATTTTATGCAGTTACACGGGGAATTATTGATTGGATATTGCATATGTTTGAAGTTTCAACTTCTATTTGCTATATGTTTTTTTTTTTTTTTGACAATCGGTTAATGATTTACACCTGGAGTTAAGTACCATGTTGTGTTATGTTTCACATGGGTAATTCCAGTAAAATGAGGCCCGGACATTACCTGGAACTAGTGGGAAGGTTGACTCAAGTGGTGTCTAAGATATCTGTGCAAACTTAGATATGTTTCAATATTAGATTTGGTATGGATTTGTTAAAGACTAATGCATATCCATCAAGTTTGACCATATCTCTAGTATTATGTGCAAAGAACCATACTGAAACAAGATAAAGTGACACATAGCATATCAAATGTAGATTACAGAGAGTAATCGTAAAACAAAAGTGAATAGCATATCAAATGAAGATTACATTGCTTTGAAAGTTATTTCCTTGTTATTGAGTTTAAATTTGTCATCCAAGGGCTTTAATAGGAATATATTGTTGTACTTGTTTAAACCATGGTTATTGCCAATTGAATGAAAGGAAACCTATATGTTACATGACATTGTTTTCTCCTATTGCAGATTGGCATGTTTCTTGACAGGAGGATCCTTTTGTACATTATTCCAGTTTTCTCATTTGTTTTACTTTACTCAAAGCTTCCACACAAGGTGATTATTATAACTACAGTTATCACGGCGCCTGCCTAGACGTAAAAAATGACAAGGCAGATGCCTTATATAATGCCATTTATATTGTTGTATCTTATTAATGTGCGTTTTAATACATTTTATTATATGCTACATATATCATTTATACTTTGTTTTTAATGTTTTATTATTGAAATTTAAAAGATCAAAGGGTTTTGAGGAGAGAGAACAATTAAGAAAGAAAGAAAGAAAGAAGGGAAGAAAGAACTTCCATTATAGTTGTCAAGGCGACGCCTAGGCGGGTGCCTAGGCGACAATGCGCCCTTAGAGGCTCGCCTCGCCCAGTCGCCAAGCAGTTTTGTGCATTGGGTTATAAAATACTTTTATATTTTTAATTTTTTGACATTATAATTATAAAATAGACATTATTAAACTAGAACATTCATTTTATGTTTTTATATACTAATTTCTTTTTATTATTTTCTTATTTTGTTAGGGTTTAATCAACGCAAACATTGCTAACTGCTGTATTGAACCCATGGTTCAAAGTATCAATACACCTCTGTGTATTGGCAGAGGTGTATCAGTACTTATAACGATACTCCCCTTATTTTTTTTTTATTTCTTTGGTTTTCAATTTCATTATTAAATCTATATATTATTTTGAAAAATGGGTCCCCGAAAACACCTGCAAACAGGTATCGGGACCCCAAAGATACAATACATTACACCCGATACAGGGCGTATCGTATCGAAATTTCCACCTTTTCTTTTCTTCTTTCCTATAACAAAAGTAGGGGTTCAGCCCCTATATTTTTTGAATTTTTTTTCCTTTGTTCTTTTTCTTCTCATAAAATGTTGATTTTCTAGACTTTAACATGAAATTTATACTTCTCTTATGGAAATTATGAATAATTATTAAGGAAAGATGGTTATGGAACCTAGGGAACTACCCTAGGATATATGGTTTCACTTAAAAATATCCTTCGCCTAGGCACCACCTAGGCGATAAGGCGCCCCCTGTCGCCTAGCCTCGCCTTGGCACCTTGAAAACTATGACTTCCATCCTTGTTTTTTTTCTATTTTATTTTCCTTCTTGAATATTTATCATATAAAGTTACTTTCTTTAGCTGCTAATTGATATGAAATTGCTCTATGAAATACTTATTTATTTTTGAAAATAATGAAATTAATATATGTACAAGATTTTTATCTTTTATATGTGATGATTTGCCACATTTTTAGTAGAATTTAATGTTCTTAATAAAGTGGATTGCTATTTTTTCAATTAATATACATGTTGAATGGTATACAAAACTAAGGAACTAACCAAAAGTTAGTTCTTTATATTATAAACGCCTAGGCAACTAGACAACTAGGCGCTCCAGTGTCGCCCAGAATCGCCTATACGCCTTGAAAACTATGATTGTTATCCCTGAAATGTAATGGGCATAATTGTTTATTCAGACATTATTTATTGTTATCTCTGATCAACAGGAACTGCGATTCATTATTTGTTCCATTCCTATCTTCAACTTGGCAGCAGCAATTGCAGCTAGCAGAATGTATGTAGTATAACGTCTACCTTGTTCTCATTTTGATAGTTCTCAACATTATTTATCAGTACAAGGATATACTCTTTTTACAGTTCCACTAAACATTAGGAACTATAATCTAGTTAAGTGGTGGGGAATATGTTTGTAAGACAACAGAATAGGAGAGGCCTGACTTCCATGCGATGGTAATGACACATACATCATAAATGGGGTTGGAGCTTCATTTTGGTCTTGCACTCATAAAAAACCTTACTTTGATTGGGCTCTAAGTAATAAAAGGTTCAGAGGCCAAAGACTGTATTGTCTTTAAAGAATTGAAAGGGACAGGTGGCAAGGGGCCAGCCTAATTGGAATCCGCATTGAACATCATACTCTTTATAAATCAATTAACTTCTGATTGTTATCTATCAAAAAAGTTGCAGGCATAAAATTTTAATTTTCTTTCACAAGATTTGTGAGGGGAACTGGTAGAGATAGGATTTTGGTGCCACATTGGTATACACCAGAAACAGAGGCCCTCCTTCGGATGCAGGCTATTCTAATTTTGTTCTTGAAGAAGACTGAGGGGCTATCTTTTGTGCAGGGGGGGACCTTGGTAAACATTAGAGAAACATTAGAGAAAAAGAATATTTTCACATGTTGGAGTCAATAGATATGCAGGATCATCAACAGAGATCTACTATGCAGAGGGGGATCATAAACTTGAATCTCTTACAAGCAGGGATGAGCATAAAAGTGAAGTATCACTAGCTTTATTATCACAGGTACGGATGGAAGAGTTGGCAGTTAAGGAGAGAAAGAAAGGAGAGGGGTCAGTAACTAATCAGCAACAATGTTTTTATGAAGATGAAAAATACAAGACAAAAATACAAAAATTGCCTTCCTGTGGTGGATGGGCTGATTTTAAAACAACTAGCTCACCCCAAGAAATGGCTAAATCTAAATGAATCTACCCCAGTAGGGGAGATACCTGGAATTCATTCCTCTTAACTAGAGAACAAGGGATTTTATTAATTTTCTAACCCATCTGAATAGGGTTCATCCTGGAAAAGCCACAGCCCTCCCCCTTCATTTCGCACCCATCCAAATACTACTTTAGAGAATCTTCTTCCATTTTTATTCACTGCATTTAACCAGGGCTGCCAAAACTTAATTGGGTTTAATGTTACTCTGCTATTATCCTATAGAACATGTATTGAGATATCTGCACTTGGTTGTTTAATTGCTTTTACACTTCTTAATCTATCATCTCAACCTTTCAGTTACAACAATAGGAAGAAGAGTCTCTGGAAGTGGCTTTATTTAGTTATGCTTGGATCCCTTCTGGTCAGGTTGGGTGAATGGCATTATTATTCTCAGTTTCTAAATTCTAATATAATCTTTGTGTAGATCCAACATTCTCAAAGTTTGCTTTTTTTTAGTCTAGGATTCTCCATCATTATGTTCATGGCATCATATGAGAATTATCCTGCTGGATATGCTCTTAAAGCTTTGCATAAAATGGGTACTCTCTCTCTCTCTCTCTCTGTATATATATATATATATATATATATATATATATATATATATAATCTGTCTGCCTGTCTGTCTATCTATCTATCTATATGTATATGTATGTATGTATGTAAACATGCAATCTATGTTACAAGATACGACAAGGACATGATCTTGAATATGAAAGGACTATTACCCAATGTTGGTCCTAGCTATTTGCGGTCTTGGGAACAGTAGACTGGATATGGTCTAGGCTTTGGCTTTTTTTTGCACAAAATGGCTGCCCTGAGACTTGAACCCTTGTTCTCATGTTTTCCAGTCCTGTGGCAAAAGCTATGGCTACAAAGGACATGTTATTGTGGGGAGAACCGGGACCAGGAATGGAATTTTAAAATATGTAACATTGGCTCCATGGAGGTATGACTTGTCTTGTCTGCTATCCAGGGACCATTACTTGGTGTGAAGGTAAAATCTCAGGCTGCCATGCATGAAAGGGTGGGTTTGACTCTGAAGGCAGCCACTTTGTGCTAAAAAATGCCAAAGGTTTGGACTGTCCTCAGTCCCCAGTCTACCCTCCCAAGACCCCAGATAACTGGAAACAATATTGGGTAATGACATTTTTTTCTGGTTTCCTATCCAGCTGTTTGTTTAGCAGGCTTCTTTTCTAGTTTTATGAAAATTGTCTTTTTTTACTTATCAAAAAAAAAATTGGGGATTAATGAAGCATTCCATATGAACGTGACATTCGAACAATCCCATCATTACAAACTTAACAAAGCTTCCGGAATCCTCTTTCTTGGGCTGTATTCATATGTTAGCATTTGGCTTTTCTCAGATAATCTGATGCATACCTATGTTTTGTCAAGACAGGTGTGGTGGGTTATAAATTATGGTTGGTGAATCTTATATTGCAACTATAATTGGGACATTGTTATTATTACTATTTACTAGGTGTTATCATGGCATGTTTTCATCAACTCATGGATTTAGTTTGGTGTTGATAACTGATTGATGTTTGTTTAAATAGGTCACCACACTAACACTAGTAAAGACCAGTGGGTTCACATTGATTCCTTTTCAGCAATGAATGGGATCTCGCGGTTTTGTGAAAATAATTTATCATGGAGGTATGCTTCTTCTATTGTTTTGGTGCTAGCTTCACTTGTCAATGCAATTTTTCTTTGGAAAATATGAAATCCTGCATCCTCTTAACAAGTTTTCAACCACTTATATATCCAATGCTTACAGCTTACTATTATTTTCCTCTTGTTCCCTACTTTTCTCTCTTTGATCAGTAGAGTGGAATTTTGTTGATACATATGATGGTGGATAGATTCTATTGAAGTCTTTTCATCTTTTTAATTCTTGCCTGCTCTGGAAGTTACCACTTTCTCCAAGTTCATACCTGATATCAGTTCAATGCAATATCAAATGTTTTGGGCACCTAGCACCTTTGTGGCTGACATGCTAAAAATTAATGCATAAAGGTTAATTCTGAACTGCAAAATTTTCAAATTAGGACTGCAGCATCATAACTTTTTTTTGTTTCTTTTTTCATGAATGACACCACTGAATTTTATTAATCAGAAGTAAAATGTGAGTATATCAAAGCATTAGAAGCCAAATAGGGAGGCTAGCCTCAGCTGACCTCCAAATGAAGAGAAAACATCAATCCCTAGCCAGTTTGGCCATAATGCAATTGATCCCTCACTTATGCCTGCAGGTCTTCTATTAATCTTTGTAGCTCTCTGATGACATGTCTATAGCTCCAAGTTACCTTCTGTTCATCTTTTAGCCACACAATGATTGTTCTCAAATCTCCTTCAATTTTGGTGACAAGGTTGAACTTAGTTGTTGAATTTTGGGCTAATATAACATGTTTTTTATTTACGTAGCATAGTTAGGGAGTTATTAGGCCTTAGGCATACTTGACTTTGTACTCTCTTTTATTTTTGAGTATATAATCTAATGAAAGGGGTGGCCAGACCTAATTCTGAGCTTCTCCCGTTCTCTTCTCTCTCCTTCTTAGCGGAAACGTTTTCTTCTCTTTCTTTTCTTCTTTCTTTTACAATTTTTATATCAAAACAGGTTGTCCAAACATGTCCACTTGGTATCAAAGCAAGGTTAAAGATTTCTTGAGTTGCTCCATCATGCAGCCCTAGATCGGTCGACTGCATGATAAGTTTAAGGGCTGATCAAAGACTTTAGGTAAGCCCAGTTTTTGGATTTTTTGTTGGAATTGCAATCCCTTGTAGCTGGTCTAGGGTTTTACACCAAAATCAGGAAGAACTAGAGAAAGGGGGAGAGTCCTATTTTAGTAGGACTCTTCAATTTTGACCTAGGAGGTGCCGCACTAGTTTTCTAGGGTTCCTTGATGGGGGTGGTTCAAGTCCCAGCCTTTTTGGAGGTCTTTGGAGGGAGTGGCAACCTCTTCTCTCTTCCCCGCTCTTACAGAAAAAGGATTCTTTGGAGGGAGGGGCTTCTAGGGTTCCAGGAGGGTGTTTGAGGTTTCTAAAGGAGATAAATACTTTTCTTTTCATCTCAAATTGATTTCCTAATCTACTCTGGGAGTTATGGAGGGTTGTGTAGTTGAAAACAAATTTATAGGAGAAATGGGATTTGGGAGAGGTGTTGGAGACCTCTTCGAGGCCGGAACCATCACTACAGTTAAGTTTGATGGTACAAACTACTTAGAATGGTCACAATCTTAAAAGATGGCCATTGGTGCTCGTGGGAAATTGGGGTATATCACCGGTGAGGAAAAGAAACTTGAAACTAACCATTCCCGATGGGTATAGGAGAACTATATGGTGATGACTTGGTTGTGTAATTCCATGTTGCCCCATATAAGTACAAACTTTTTATGGGATAACACAACTAAGGAGATTTGGGATGGAGTAGCAAAAACTTATTCATAGAATGAGAATGTTGCTAGAGCTTATCAGTTGAGAAACTAGGTGATTGCTACTAGGCAGGGAGAAAATATTGCTATTTATTTTTCAGCCCTCAAAACCTTATGGTAGGAGATAAATCATTTGGAGACTATGGTTTGGGAAAGTAACAAAGATGCAACAACTAATCAGAAGCTGGCAGAAAAGAATAGGGTTTTTAAGTTTTTAGTTGGACTTAACCCTGAGTATGATATTGCACGACAACATATTCTTTCCTGAGACAGTGTAACTCTCTTTCAGGCATATGCCTTTGTGTTTGGAGAGGAGAGTAGGAGGAATGTGATGATGAGGAACCCAGACCTTGAGCAATCAGCTATGGTTAGCATAGTGAAGCCTAAGTCGAGTGGGGACAAGGATGGAAACGAACCGATGAAGGTGGACAAAAGGGATCTGATATGTAACTACTGTAAGAAACCCAAACATACCAGAGATACTTATTGGAAGCTTTACCCACACCTCTCTAGAATATGGCAGTGACTAGTGATTTATCAGGGCCACCTACTACAACCTCTCTAGAATCTGTTGTAGTAGCTGTAGTGAGGGCTGAATTGGAGAGATATGGGTAGTTCCTGAATCAGAAGAATACAGCCAGTTCCAACTCATTATCAGGTGGGGACAACAAGGTGCAGGTTGATCAAGAGGTAGTCATTCTACCTCATTTGTGCACACAAGTAGTTTACATGCCATTGCAAATTATGTATCCACTACAGGTAAGGGGGGACCTCCCTGGATTATAAACTCAAGAGCCTTAGAACATATGACCAACATTTTCACCATTTTCACCTCATACCACCTCTGCTCTAGTAGAGATAGAGTTTTCACGCTAATGGATCACATGTTCCCATTTTTGGGAAAGGGTCTGTTAGGATAACTGATACTATTACCCTACCTTTTGTCCTTCATAATCCTAGACTGAGCATTGATATTTTATTTGTTAGTAGCTTGACAAAGAATTTGAACTGTTTTGTGATTTTTTCCCCTGGTCATTGTGTTTTGTAGGATCTGGAATCAAAGAGGATGATTGGGAGTGGTTGTGAGGTGAATGGAATCTATCTTCTTGATGCGCTTCTCAATCATCAATCGTGCCAGCAGGAGTATTAAGTTAGAGTTGGTGGGTCAGATTATGCTTTGGCATAATCGGTTAGGACATTTGTTTTTTGTTTCCCAAATTGTTTGAGTCTATCAGTTTGTCCAATTTGGAGTGTGAGGTCTATCAACTTGGAAAGCATTGTAGACATTCCTTTAAAGTAAGTAATAAAAGATGTTCTTTGTTTTTGATATTGTTCATACTGATGTGTGGGGTCCATACCATGTTTCCTCTATGGGTGGCTATTGGTATTTTCTCTTGTTTGTGAATGATTATTCTCTGTACTCTTGGATATATTTGATGAGATCTCGTTATGAGGTACCATCTTTAGTTCAACAATTCCATCAGATGGTGCTAACACAGTTTGGGGTACGAGTGAAAGTGTTTAGATTAGACAATGCCAGGGAATACTTTGAAAAAGACCTGGCATCATTCCTATTGGAGCATGGAGTTATCCATCAGAGCAATTATACATACACTCCACAACAGAATGGTGTAACAAAAAGGAAGAACAAACATATTGTGGAAGTAACAAGAAGCATGATGTTGAGCTTTACAGTTGCAATTCATTTTTGGGGTGACACAATTTTTATAGCAGTGTTCTTGATTAATCGGGTGCCTTCTCGTGTTCTTGGATATAGCACTCCGTTCAGCCTTCTTTTTCCTGAGGGGGAGATAATCCATATTCCTCTAAGTGTGTTTGGATGTGTATGCTTTGTCCATGTTCTTGGTCCTCATCGCTCAAAGCTAGATCCTAAGGCGAAGAAGTGTGTCCTCCTTGGGTATGCAAGAAATCAGAAGGGGTAATGTTGTTATGATCCAGTCTCCGGCAGCTGGTATGTTACTATAGATGTCACCTTTTTTGAGTTTACACCTTTTTTTTTAGGGGGAGTGTTTTGGAGAAGGAAGTGAGCAATCTGTACCATTTCCTGTTCCAACTCCTTTGTCTACTCTAGTGTCTGACCTACCATCTCACCCACTTTGCCACCTCCGTTGTGTCCTGTCTCTCAGTGTTTTACACGACAGCACAGGGAGGTTGATTCCATAGTAGAGGAACCCACGTCACTCCCTATTGGCTCATCGGGGATTCCAGGTTTGACTGACACAGACCCAGGTATGCCTCTTGTTCCCCCTAATAGTTTAGTTCCTATTTGGTACTACTACCCTTGCTCCTAACACCATTGCAAATGACCTTGATTTCCCTATTGCCCTCAAAAAAGGGAAGAGGAAGTGTACTACTCATTGCAGCTCACACTATCTTTCCTACAGTGGATTATCCCCTTCCTACCGGGCCTTCCTTTCCTACCTTGACTTTGTGTCTATACCCAAGTGTTAGTGAGGCTCTCTCCAAACCTGAGTGGAAGACAGCTATGCAGGAGAAAATGAAAGCATTGATTAAAATTCAAACATGAGAGATTGTGAATTTGCTTTATGGCGAGGAGACTGTTAGATGCAGATGGGTTTATACAGTGAAGTACAAGGCTGATGGGAGTATAGAAAGGTACAAGGTACCCTTGACTCTGTGTCTATACCCAAGTGTTAGTGAGGCTCTCTCCAAACCTGAGTGGAAGACAGCTATGTAGGAGAAAATGAAAGCATTGATTAAAAATCAAACATGAGAGATTGTGAATTTGCTTTATGGCGAGGAGATTGTTGGATGCAGATGGGTTTATACAGTGAAGTACAAGGCTGATGGGAGTATAGAAAGGTACAAGGTGAGGCTGGTTGCAAAAGGGTATACTCAAACTTATGGCATAGATTACTTGGAAACTTTTGCACCAATGGCAAAGATGAGTTCAATTTGGATTCTTCTATCACTAGCAGCTACATACTCTTGGCCACTCTTCCAACTTGATGTGAAGAATGTCTTTCTCAATGGGGACTTGCAGGAGGTGTATATGGACCTTCTAGCTAGCTTTTACAAAAATGTGGAAAAAGGAAAGGTATGCAGGTTGAAGAAGTCCCTATATGGTTTAAAGCAATCACCTAGAGTTTGGTTTGACATGTTAGAAGTGCATTTGTTGTATTTAGCTATACTCAAACTCAATCTAATCATACTCTTTTTGTGAAAAGGAGGGGGTCACTGGTG